AATATACGACAGGTCTGGACCACTCCTGAATTTTGTTCGTATCTGAAAAAAATCGTAGAATATGAAAACATTGGTGAATGCCACAAATTCTCCTAGATCACTCGTACGCACAACTTAAGAACAAATCTGTGCGTACGAACTGTCCTTGCATGAGGCCCAATGGGTCATGTGTGTGTAGCAAGATGATTCTTCTATTTTATTTGAAAAAAGACATAAACCTGTTCATTTTTCTCTCTCATTAACTATAGCAGACAAGCCACTGTGTTTGCGAAATAAAGTAAGGACATATAGTGATAAACTGATGGTTTTAATGGTGCAAACCCCTAATTAAAGTGTACTTTATCGCTCCATCTTCTGATCTGTCAAAACTACTTTTACATATTTCCGTCGGAGTAAATAAAAACAATGATGGAATACATTTAAGGCCACCTCTGTGGTTRACAGACTTTATATTTAAGAGGAAATTCAATATGTCAAATGAACACAGTGAGAAGTGTCTGCACTGCATGTAAAGTCTCTCTGAGTACAAAGTGAGCTAAGCGGACTCTGTCTACCCGGCAGTTAGTGTGCAGCCCGAGCAGTCTGTGTGATCGTCACGTGTTGCACTTCAATGGCTGAAGAGAAAAATGTTTACCATGCAGAGCTGGTAGGAGGACACTGAAATGGACTGGTTTGGATTTAAGGGTGTTTAGATTTAGGTGGAGTACCTCGAAGGTGGTCGCAGATTTGAATTCAAGCGCTTTCTCTGCTGTCAGACCTTCAGGTGGCCTCATCCATCCGCTGCTGAGAAAATCCTCTGAGGTCAGTCATCGCTTAGCYGTTTAATGAGACGTTTAAAAATATGGTGTTAATTACCTGAACTGAGTCAAAACTCCTGTTAGGTAAAATGAATAACATTCACATACATTACAAAGGCCAGTTACATAGAAAACTAGTGTTTAACCTGATCTTTATCTGAAAACCATACTTGGAAACTGAATTATCTTTATTTTTTACACATTGAGCACCCCACAKAACAAGTTACTTTCATACACCTGAGTAACAAGGGACTATTCTGCAGAATTAATCAGCTATAACCAGGGGAATAAAGCTCTGAAATCTTTACAGAACAATTCACTTGTTGAGCACAATGTTGTTACCAAACCAAGAGAATAAAATGCTTGAGAAACTTATGTAACTTACTTTTTTTACTAAATAAACCACAACTACTTTCCAATAACAAAGTAATGAAGTCCTCTTATCCCAGTGTACAGTATGAATAGCAAAACAAGTAAAAATCTAATGCATGTCCTCTGTTATTTTCTCTCTCCTTATAGCAAAACGATTATCAAAACATCATCGTAGCTAGCGGTTAGCTGCTAAGCTAAAGGGAGCTAACTGCGTGAAATTCACTCACCAAAAMGCTTCCAGTGGTCAACTTTATAAAAAATATGACCGTCTCATCTCTCCAGAGCCTTCTAAGGCTGTCAGCATACAAAGTGTTCAGTTGGGTTGTTTTTAAATACCTTTATAACTTTTCCTATCCCGTGTGGAATGACTCTGCAACTCTGCCTGGGTTAGCGATGCACGCGGAAGAAGAGAAGGCGGGACTTAACTAGCTCGAGCCGCAGTTACGGGGTGGGGCTACTTCATATGAGTGAAGAAGCCCTATCCAACATGGCACCCATTTTGTTTGTTACACTTAGTTTACTGAGAGCTTGTAGGAATCTATTTTTACAAGCAATTGTATAAAAAAACAATTCCCAGTAAACAGAAAAAAGCTTTGCACGAATAGCTAGCTAGCTCAGCTAGCTTTAGCACTTAGCTGTTAAAAATTATATAAATACTGTATATAAACAATACACAAATGTTTCACTGTATTACTAAATTACCAAAATGGATTAACAGCTTTTATTTTGTAGTTATCTACTAGTTTACTTGATGAATATTTAGTTTAGTAAAATCAGGTTAGCTTCTTCTTCTTCTGGTGTTTAATGGCAGTTGGTAATAACCTGAAGGTGCCCATTACCGCCACCTACTGGTATGGAGAGTGGTTCAAGATGATTTCACTGATTTTATTTGTATACTCCTACTATTATTGTATTTCTTTTTACATTTTCAAAGCTATCTATTCAAAGAAAATAAATAAAACAAAAATAACTGCTATCAAACTCAAATTCTGTTAAACAATTTCATCTTTCAAAAATCGTATCATTTGTATTTGTTTGCTCCCTAAATTCCTTTGTAATGTGTCTATTATGTTAAACCTTTCCTTAATGTTTCTGAACTGTCTTATCATACATTGTATCTCTTGTTTGTTCTTCAGACATTCTTTTATAACATGTTCTGTGGTTTCATGAGGTTAYCTTCAGGCATTCAAGAAAAATGAGGAAAGTAATTCTCAACTGTGATTGGTTGTTGCGTTGCTACGCAACTCCCTACCTCTCAACACTGATTGGATGAATTTAGTCTTTCTCAKAAGTATTTGAATTTTAGTTAGTTTACCACATAAACACCTTTAAATTGTTTATTTAGACCAATCAGAAAAACTAGTTTAAACCAGTCCACAATGTAAAACAGATGGGTGAACACTAAAACATTTTGTGAATCATTTTATTTCTATTATTGAAATGAATGAACTCGGCCCTAAAGTGACAAACCAGAGGAGAGACGAAGCATCACATAAGAATAAAGGCGTTGTCGTCAAGAAAAGACCAACCTGCTTTAATTCAGAAGACAAGAGGACAAGTTTTTATTAGATGATAAAATGGTAAACACCTGGGACTGTTCAAGAAATCAAAACTGTMACTGAAGAATATTTTTTTAATTTCTTGCACGCGACACAAAAACATTTCATCTTCTACAGCTGATCTGTAATCAGGTCATCCAGACCTCGCTGCAGCTCTTCCAGGTGGATCCCAAGGCGTTCCCAGGCCAGAGAGTTTTGGGTTTCCTGAGGCAAATGTRCGTAAAATGTACGATGAAGCATAAATAAAACAATTTGTAATTCTCTTATTAGAGGTATTTATTCCAGTTTGATAAAGCCAGCAGCGCCTGACTCACATGTAAACCTCCACATCCCCCCACTTCACAATTTTATTCCTCACATCTGCTGCTTAAACAATAATCACAAAAATAGTGACGTCTCTCCCTCGTGTCCCATTTTGAACACTCAAGGCATACAAACTTRTATTTACTATTTGTACAACATTTTGTCGGTACGTCCATTCACCCTCCTGCTCACACGCACACAAACACTGCACACGTTTCAACGCCTGCTCGCCACAATCTTTCAGAATCGTGAAGTTTGCCACGTCAAACGCTGCCCGACGATTTGTTCTCYGAGTCAAACTGAGAAGGTGAAGTAATACAGAGAGGCGACGGGGCTGTCGTGTGTTCAGAGAACCTCCCACTTGTTTCTCAGAAACAAAAATACAGACAGAAACATGTAAAATAAAACAGTAAAAAAAGAGACAAAAAACATCGTCCGCCTTGTTCTAGCTTTAGCTCATCTTTAATTTAGTCCGAGGATAACGGTTTGATTTTTTTCTCCCAGGTTTGATTCTATAAAGATACACGGTGACATGTCGTCCAGATCAGCATCATAAATCTCCAATACTGACGCCTCGGCTGGAACACAGGCAGCCCAGGCCGGTCTCTGTGCAGCAGCTGATTGGTCCTCGTGTTCAGAAGAATCCAGTGTCAGGACAGGAAGAAACTTTGCAGTAAAGTGGCACAAACAGGAGCAAACATGACGCTTAAAAGTGCAAACAGTCAAAGTCCCGGTCGGTAAAGTCCAGTTAGGATGAAGAGAAGCCGAGCCGGGCGGGGTTTTCTTTTAAGCAGGCGGCGTTAGATCAGGAAGAGCTCTGCGTTTGGAAAATGGAACAAAAAAAAAAAAAGCTGCTCATCCTTCCCGTCTACCTGCTGAAAATGTTCTCGTACTCCAGCAGTATCAGCTCCACTATCTGGTTCTGGTAGACCATGTTGAACGCCATGTTGAAGGTCTCCTGCTCGGGCCGCAGCAGCGTGGGGCCGAACACGATGGCCACGCTCTGAGTGGTCATCCGGTTCTCCTCGCCGTGCTCGATGACTCTGAAACAACACCACCATCCAAACGTTAGCCGGGTGTCCAGGTTCTGTTCTGATGGGTGGAAAAGTGAGGAACGTTTCTTACTTCCTGAGGTGTTTGAAGAGAGCCTGCATGGTGTCGTGGTTGGGTTTGGGCAGCTGTTTGACCAGTTCTTTGACCGAAAACACTCGCTGCCTGTAGTCCGGAGTCTCTGCAGACAATCACAAAATATAGATTTAACTTAGGACTGAAAACAATCGTTGTCTTACTTTAATAAAATCAATGCTTCAAGGCTCTCTGTCAAAATTAGAGTCTGAAAAAAATCACAAAATTCAACATAAAAACAGATTTAATTAGAGATGTTCCATTTCCTATGAAAATGCAGTGTGAATGCACAATGGTGAAACATTTTTGCTGAATAGCCAAAAAAAGCTGAAACTAGCCAAAAAAAAAGCTTAACAAAGTAACTGAAATAGCTGAAATTAGCAAAACAAAAAMAGAAAAAGCATGAATTAGCTTAATTAAGCAGTAAGAAGCTGAAATTACATAAAAAGCAACTAAAACACTGAAATTAGCAGAAAGTAGCTAAAAGAGACACAAAAAGCTTGAAATTAGCAAAAAAATATTACAAAAGGTCAGAATTACTAAGATCT